CCGCCCCCCGCCCGCCGGGCGGGGCCCCGCCTCCGGGAGCTTTTCCAGCTCAGCAAGTCTCGAGTCAGGCACTTGCCAAGCTGCTCCTGCGCCACCTGCTGGGGAAGGCAGGCAGGCCTTTCGGCTCAGATCGGGTTAAGTTCCCCCTCTTGCGGGCTGAGATCAAGCAGGGGCATCTAAATCCCAACACCTCCTGCCTTGGGCCTGCACTTGGATGCCTGCCAATGGGTCTAGGACAGGGGCAGGCAAAATGCAGCCCGCCAGGCCATTGTATCCAGCCTGCGGGACCCCCAAAACATTTAGAAAATAAATATTAATCTGCCCCAGCTGCCTGGCATGTGGCCCTCGATAGCTTGCCGAAACTCAGTAAGCAGCCCTCCTCCTAAAATAATTGCACACCCCCGGTCTAAGAGTATCTGAAATCCCAGGGCAAAAGCCTGGGATGGAGAACGCTCACCGGTTGTAGTGCCACACATGGATACATACAATATGATTGAGTTCTGCCTGCTCAATCAATATGATTGACCTGGAAGACAAAATATTTTAATAAATAAATTCTAAAAACCTGCTGGGGAAGGCACTGGCTGGCTCCAGGGTCCCTTCCATGGGGGAGCTGGATCACAGGATGCAGCACAGGGGGTTTCCACCTCCTTAGTCTTAAGGCAGCCCTCAGGAAATGCCACCTCTTAGCTGCCAGGCAAGGTTCTTTGGATAAATGTGATACCTTTTATTAGACCAACTAAATAGTTGGAAAAATTGTTCTTTGCAAACTTTTGGGTACACCTTACCTGCCACACTTTTTACAATGGTGGACAATAGTAGAGCTAAATAGTTGGACAAATAGTAGAACTAATATTTGGTTGCGGAGAATTCAGAAAGACCCCAACTGGCCTGAATGTGTTTGACACTGTGGATTCCCATTGCAAATCTCTGGGTTTATCTTGTGACATGTGTAAGTATTTAAACACCCAACACCATTCATAATATGCAGCACTTTGCAACACCCCTAAAAGGGTCTCATGGTGCCATGGCACCCTGGTTGAAAATCACTGATCTAGCCTCATTTATTTTCCTCTGTCCTGGGAATTCCTCAGAGCACAGGAGGATGGCTTGTATTGTAGCAACCTTGGTTACTTACAGGTTTCTGTGAACCCCAAGTGCGGGGAAAAATGAACAAGAGGGAATTGGTCCGCTACAGAAATGTTACAGGAGCTACAACAGATGTCTTCAATCACACATATATAATAAGAAATCAAAATGAAGAACCTTATTCAGGAATACTAGGGATTACTGTCCTTTGTATAGTTTTGTCATTGTTTACAGTTTACCAGCAACAGAATTATATCAAGCGTATCAGTGCAAAAAATAGACTAGAATCACATGAACTTCACAACTCATAACAACAATCAAATACTCACCCTTTGAGTCATGGAGGACCCCTCATCCCATTACAGAAAGAGAGAAATGAGAAGACACTTTTCCTTTAAGACTGACAGCCCAGACAAGAACCTGTTGGGCTATATAACTCACCTGGAAGTGCTGGGCGGAAGGGTATTAGTGGTGGAAGGGAGAGGGGTATCCATAGGAGAGAGCTGGTGAAGCTGGATTTCAGAGTCTGTGATTGTGGTTAGTAGGCAGGGGTGGAGGGGTAGCATGGTCCAGCTGTGGGTAGCCCAGTCGTGTGTTAGAGAGCCCTCAATGAAAAGGTACCCTACCCAGGAAGGACTGAGTAGACTAAAAAGGAATATGGTCAGGTGCCTGAGTTAAGAGTCATGGGATGACTATGAAGAGAGAAGAGGCTGCAGTTGGGGTACTTTGTGGATGGGGTGCAGGCTGAGGGCTGTTTTATGACTGTCTACCCTGGGGGCTCTTTTGGTGGCTTATGATACCTGTACCTGATTTGGCTGATACATTTATGAACTGGACTGGGGCTGATAAACTGTGAATATTATTTGAGTCCTATATTCCTGTGAAATGCTTTGGGGTCTGCTGAGCTGTATAGATGGAGCATGTGTCCACAAGAACATGACCCTTTGAGGTCTTCTGGAGAGATGCAAAGAAAAGAGGCACCTAAAGATGGTACCCTCTAACTAGACTGAAGGCCAACACCCAAAATTAGCAACATTAAAGGCATGGCAAGCCAGCAAACTAGGCATTTGTGTGGTCAGATGAGCAGGCAGGCTGAAGCAGATCTTTAGGATGGTACAGGTAACCCTAGAGTCTTCAGAGATCCTGCTATACTTTGGTTTTAGAAAGAAGCTTTTATCCTTTGGACAACTTATTCCCTACCTTCCCAGTTTAAGGGTTCTTGCCCTTTCTTCTGAAGCAGCTTTACACTAGATTTGTGGTTTTCAACCTTCTTAGAATCAAGACCTGTCTTGGAAAATGGCAGATCTTTAGCTTTCACCTTTTTTGTGGAAAAGTAACAGGGCAATTCTTTTCTGGTGAGGAACTCAGAACACCACATGGAACCCAGTTGAAAATCAGTGTTTTAGGGTGTTCACAAGCTCGGACTGGGAAGGAAAGTTGAGACAGCAGCATGGAGAGCATGTCTGACTGGTACATTCCAAAACATGTAGTCTTGCATACAGTCCTACATTCTGGCAATGTAGATTGATGGGTCTATATTGTTATAAATGAGAAGATTCAGATTCTTTGCCATGAAATAAAGTACTCTTATTTTCCAAAGGAGCAAAGGGATCAGAATCAGGCCCAAAAATCAGGAAGAAAAGAACTATAAATCATAGGTGGTGGTGTTTGTTGAGATGCCATAGCAGTTTCCCTGCTCAACTGCATACGATTGCTCATGCTGAAAGTAGCAACAGTGGTTTCACACAATACTCTTTATCAAGTCTAGCTAATTTACTTCTTTAGATTTACTATTTCAGGTGGTCACAACCCATCCCTTTTATGGGAATTAATTATTCATGTATCCAACATAATCACTGTGATCAGACACCTTGCTAGTTTTTTTTATCTGGAAGAATCCCAGATGAAAACTAATACAGATAGGGATTAACTTACTTGATACCACATCACTCTTTTATGGGTTGTGGCAAGGAAGAGAAAACATATGACCTCTGTAAGCAA